ATAAAATAAAATGCATAATAACTAAAATATAAGCTCTAAATCGTGGCCGTCGATCTGCAATGCTTCCGGCGATACACCTGTTTGAACCTTGGATCGATGTCCTCATCACTTACGCCTCGCCTCACGGACCAAAAACGCCTCGAGGCTTATTTACGTAATTTTAAACCTTGGACTGGAGTCAAGTGAAGCTTTTTTTGTATATGCTAAAATTTAATTCAAGTGCAAATCCAAGATACAGAGGAAATTACAATGTATCTCAATCATGAAGTCATGATATATGAAACTAGTGGTATAAATTAATTAGTTAGACTCAATTTTTATGCCACTTTTAGTTATGTAACCATATCCGACTACTGAAGTTTGACATTGTCGGTAGTAGGGCTTTGGCTCAGCTATACCTTCAAATGTTTACTTGTAAGAGGCCTTTAAGCTTCGCCTTTACCTATGATTCAACATGTGTACCTCAATTAAAAAGGCTGAAAGCAGAAGAATAGGCACAATATCACTTCAACCTCCTTATTGCTTAATTCATCTCTGGAGTTGATCTTAGCAGTTCAATTTAATAACTTCACTGTCTCAAGTCATTTATTTTTTTGCCATCTATTTTGTGTTTTTTCCTTGTCTATTTTGTGACATGTTTTGCTTGACTAACATTCTTATTTATATTATATATTATGATGGTACCTTTATCTTGTTGACTTGCTTTGTCAAACCCCTACGAAACTTATCTAGCTGTTAATTATTGAAGGTGGAATAAGCTCATTCAAAAGCCTTATGAGATGGGTGATGAATGTGGCTTAAAGCTGGTACAAACCTTGCTAAGGCCTATAATGTTAAGAAGAACTAAACTGAGCACAGATAGAGATGGCAGGTGAGACAAGCAAACATGCTGCATTGTTGATTATCAGTTTGCAACTCTTAAAATTTACACTTATGCAGGCCAATCATTGTTCTTCCACCGGCAGATGTTGGAGTAATTTATTGTGAGTTGACAGCAGCAGAAAAGGACTTCTATGAGGCTTTGTTCAAAAGATCCAAGGTAAATATATCTATATTTATTGATAATTGTTTAACTTACGTGAAAGAAATTGTACTCAAAATCGGCCTTCCAGGTGAAATTTGATCAATTTGTTGAGCAAGGACGAGTCCTTCACAATTATGCTTCAATTTTAGAGTTGCTATTACGTCTTCGCCAGTGTTGTGATCATCCGTTCCTTGTGATGAGGTTTGTTTTTCTTTGCTAGTGTTAATTTGTTTTCTTCTGAAAGCAGTATCAACATGAACCATAACAATGATCCAATAAGGCATTCAAATTTGTTTAAAAACCAAGGTTTTGATAACCGGACCAGACAACGAACCGGAAGAAGGAGAGGTTCAAGGTTCGACCGGTCGAACTGGGGTCGAACCGGATGACGTAATAAATAATAATATATTAATATTATAAAATTTATAAAATGAATTAGATATTTTCCTCTAATAACTTCAATCTAGCTACATTTCAT